AACTTGTTCTCCTAACCTGAACCCTAACACCTAACCCTAACCTAACAGTCTACTGACAGTCTACTAATACTCTAATGACACTTAGTTGACATGTAGTTGAAAAGTTACTTATAGTTACCCAGATAGCAAACTTACATTGAATCAACGTGGATGTGATGGATTTAGAGAGGACTCAGAAGCGAGGATGACAATCACAGCTCCTTTAATAACAAATGGCAGGATGACCACAGGTACGTGTAACAGAGGAATTATATTTAACAGCAACAGAAGGTTCCTGTAGAACAGGCAGTCGAACTTGAACAGACACTCCCTCTGTGGTCCAGGCAAAGATGAGCAGAGAGCTGGAGCAGTAGGGACCCAGAAACCCTCAGGGCCGGGATAGCGAGCAATGAAGAAGGAACACAGCCTCAGACTTCTAGCAGGTATGGTTCTGGAAGTATATCGCATGGACACAGAATAATACTCGAAGTAATCAGAGATATGTTATTAGACAGGACTGGACTGGACTCAGACAGATGCACGCATCGAAACTACGAACAAACTGACAACAAGACAAGGAAGAGAAGGTAAGAAAAAGCCAAGATAATGAGGGGGGGAACGAGAGACAGGTGAAGAGAGATGAGCCTAATGAAAAGTGATAACAGCTGTCAGTAATGAAAGTGAAAGCGGCAAGTGAGTGAGTGAACGAATAACCAGCAGGGGGAGACAGAGAACGAGCCAGGATCATGACAGTACCCCCTCCTCAAAGAGCGCCACCTGGCGCTCCCTAGGAGGAACCCTGGCGAGACCGGAGGAAATCATCAATGAGCGAGGGGTCCAGGATGTCCCGGGGGGAAACCCAGCTTCTCTCCTCAGGCCCGTACCCCTCCCAATCGACCAGGTACTGATGTCCTCGACCCCGACGACGCATATCCAAGATCTTACGGACAGTATAGACAGGAGAATCCTCCACACGGACTGCCGAGAACGCGGTACGAGAAGTCGAGCGATTGACGGGCTTAACGCAGGAGACGTGGAAAACCGGGTGGATACGACGAAGGTTAGGAGGTAAATGAAGCTTGACGGCGACAGGATTAATAATCTTGACTATACGGAATGGCCCGATAAAACGGGGAGCCAACTTGCGAGAGTCGGACTGAAGAGGTAAATTGGAAGTGGAGAGCCACACTCTCTGGCCAACACAATAGCGGGGACTCTTAATGCGATACTTATTAGCCGAGATGCTCATACGTCTCCTAGTACGACAAAGGGACGATCTCACTCTCCTCCAAGTACGCTTGCAGCGACTGATGAACGTCTGAACGGAGGGACAGTTCGACTCTGTCTCTTGCGAGGGAAAAAGCGGAGGTTGGTAGCCGAGACAACAGTGAAAGGGTGAGAGCCCCGTGGCAGAAGATGGGAGAGAGTTGTGTGAGTATTCTGCCCAGGGAAGCTGCTCAGCCCAAGACGCAGGATTACGGAACGCCAGACTGCGGAGAATGCGGGCCACAATCTGATTGGCACGTTCGGCCTGACCGTTAGTCTGGGGATGAAACCCTGAAGAGAGGCTGACGGTGGCACCAATAAGACGACAAAATTCTTTCCAGAATTGTGATGAGAATTGCGGGCCCCTATCAGAAACGACGTCGGTGGGCAAACCGTGCAATCTGAAAACATGATTAACCATTATCTGGGCGGTCTCCTTGGCAGAGGGAAGCTTGGCGAGAGGAATGAAGTGCGCGGACTTCGAAAAACGGTCGACCACAGTAAGAATGACGGTATTACCGGCCGACGCAGGGAGACCCGTGATAAAGTCGAGCGCTATATGAGACCACGGACGAGTAGGAACTGGTAGCGGGCGTAACAGACCAGCGGGCGGAGAATTACCAGCCTTGGTCTGGGCACAGACAGAACAAGAAGCGATAAAGCGACGCGCGTCATGAACTAAGGTGGGCCACCAAAAGCGTTGGCGAATAAGCGCGATAGTGCCCCGAACGCCGGGATGGGCTGACAATTTGGAAGAATGTCCCCACTGGAGGACGGCTAGGCGAGTGGGCACCGGAACGAATAAGGAGCCTCTAGGGCAGTCGCGCGGAGTGACGGCATGGGCAAGAGCACGCTTCACCTGTCTCTCGATTCCCCAAATCGCCGCTCCCACCACACGACCAGGAGGAATAATCTCCTCCCGGGTGGAAGAAGAGGAGGAGGAACCAAAGAGGCGAGACAGCGCGTCCGGTTTAACATTCTTGGACCCGGGCCGATAAGAGATGGAGAAGTCGAAGCGCGTAAAAAACAGCGACCAGCGAGCCTGGCGTGCGTTCAGTCTCTTTGCGGAACGGATGTATTCCAAATTTCGATGGTCGGTCCAGACGACAAAAGGAACGGAGGAACCCTCCAACCACTGGCGCCACTCGCCTAAAGCCAGGCGAATGGCGAGCAGTTCCCGATTGCCGACATCGTAATTACGTTCCGCGGAAGACAGACGGTGCGAAAAAAAAGCGCAAGGATGTACCTTGTTATCGGAGGCTGACCGCTGAGAAAGAACGGCGCCTACCCCTACCTCCGACGCGTCGACCTCGACAATAAACTGTCTAGTGATATCCGGCATGATCAGAATGGGTGCGGTGGTAAAGAGAACCTTTAGACGGTCAAAAGCCTCTTGAGCGGATTCTGACCACCTAAAACAGGACTTAACTGAGGTCAGGGCGGTGAGCGGCGCGGCTACTTGACTGAAATTGCGTATAAAGCGGCGATAAAAATTAGCAAACCAAGAAAGCGCTGTAACGCGACACGAGAATCAGGAACGGGCCAGTCAACTACCGCCTGGACCTTAGACGAATCCATACTGATTCCCTCAGCCGAGATGACCGAACCTAAGAATGTAACGGAAGGCACGTGAAAAGAGCATTTCTCAGCCTTTACAAAGAGGCGATTCTCGAGTAAGCGCTGAAGTACGCGGCGTACATGCTGCACATGGACTTGGAGGGAGGGTGAGAAAATCAATATGTCATCGAGATATACAAACACGAACACGTTTAGCATATCCCGAAGGACATCGTTGACAAGGGCTTGAAAGACGGCGGGGGCGTTGACCAAACCGAACGGAAGGACCCGGTATTCAAAGTGCCCGAGGGGTGTATTAAAAGCGGTCTTCCACTCGTCCCTTCTTTAATTCGTACGAGATGGTAAGCATTGCGAAGATCAAGCTTAGAAAAAATCGTTGCTCCCTGCAGGATCTCGAAAGCTGAAGACATCAGTGGTAAGGGATAGCGGTTCTTAACCGTGATGTCATTCAGCCCCGATAATCTATGCAGGGACGCAAAGAGCCGTCTTTTTTCTTGACGAAGAAAAAACCCGCACCGGCCGGAGACGAGGACGGGACAATAGTGCCAGCCCTGAGAGAGTCAGACAAATAATTCTCTAACGCCTCCCGTTCAGGAACCGAGAGAGAATAAAGTCTTCCCCGAGGGGGCGTGGTACCCGGGAGAAGCTCAATACCACAATCGTAGGGGCGGTGAGGAGGGAGAGAAGTGGCCCGGGAACGACTGAATACCTCCCGCAAATCGTGATACTCCTCCGGTACTCCAGACAAATCCCCTGCCTCTTCCTGAAACACAGAAACAGAAGACACAGGAGGAACAGCAGACACAAGACAATCAACATGACACGATAACTTCCAAGACAAGATAGAGCCAAGGGACCAATCGATATGGGATTATGACGTTTAAGCCAGGGATGACCTAATACTACTGGAGTAAAGGGCGAACGAAAAACAAGAAAAGAAATAGTCTCTCGATGATTACCAGAAACGGTAAGAGTCAGTGGAACGGTCTCACTTAGAACCCTAGGTAGGGAACTACCGTCTAGGGCGAAAAGGGAGGTTGAATGCTTTAAATAGGTGAGGGGAATACCCTGCTGCCGGGCCCACTCCTCATCCACGAAATTTCCCTCGGCCCCAGAGTCGATCATGGCAGAGCAGGAGACAGATGAACTGGACCACTGAAGATGCACAGGTAGAGTAGTGCAAGAGTCTGAAGGGATCTCTCTAGAGATTGCGCTCGCCAGTAACCCTCCGCCTACTGACGAGCGCTGGCCTTTTACTGGGCACGACAAAGCAAAGTGGTCGGGCAGCACAGTACATACAAAGTCGATTAACCAGTCTCCTCTCCCGTTCCTTAGGGGAGATTCGCAGACCTCCAAGCTGCATGGACTCGGGATCCGGACTCGGAGAGGGTATAACGGAACCAGCAGTAGGCGTGGCCCCAGGACAGACTCCATGCGGCGAGCTCGGCGTCGTAAGTCGAATCTCTTCTCCACTCGAATCGCCAGTTGAATGAGCTCGTCGAGCCGAGCGGGGACCTCTCGGATAAGGATCTCCTCTCTCAGCTCGGAGTTGAGACCCTCCAGAAAACGAGCGACCAACGCGGGTTGGTTCCAGCCACAGGTGGTAGCTAGAGTCTGAAATTCTATGGAGAAATCAGAAACCGAGCGCCTCCCCTGCCGGAGAGAAGACAGCAACCGCGAAGCCTCCTCTCCGTGAGCAGAACGGTCGAAAACCCGGATCATCTCGTCCTTAAACAGTGCGAAGCTGAAGACGCAATCCCTCTCCGCCTCCCAGTTAGCCGCTGCCCATTCCCGTGCCCGGCCGGCGAGAAGGGAGATAACGTACGCCACCTTAGTGCGTTCCTTCGCGTACGTCAATGGTTGCAGGGAGAATATTACCTCACATTGGGTCAGAAACGACCGACACTGTGTGGCCTCACCCAGGTACATGGGCGGATTATTTATCCGGGGCTCCGGAGAGTCATGAGACCCCAGCGAGGAGGGAGGCTGGAGACGCAAGTTGTGGACCTGACAGGAAAGATCCGTCATCTGGGCGGCCAAAGTCTCGACCGCGTGTCTGGCTGCGGAGATGTCCTCCTCATGCTTGCCCAGGAGAACACCCTGATGTTTGACAGCGGACTGGAACGCGTTGCCATTCGCTGAGTCCATTCTTGGTCAGTTTGTTCTGTGATGGATTTTAGAGAGGACTCAGAAGCGAGGATGACAATCACAGCTCCTTTAATAACAAATGGCAGGATGACCACAGGTACGTGTAACAGAGGAATTATATTAAAAAGAAGGTTCCTGTAGAACAGGCAGTCGAACTTGAAGAAAGAAAAACACTCCTCTGTGGTCCAGGCAAAGATGAGCAGAGAGCTGGAGCAGTAGGGACCCAGAAACCCTCAGGGCCGGGATAGCGAGCAATGAAGAAGGAACACAGCCTCAGACTCCTAGCAGGTATGGTTCTGGAAGTATATCGCATGGACACAGAATATATACTCGAAGTAATCAGAGATATGTTATTAGACAGGACTGGACTGGACTCAGACAGATGCACGCATCGAAACTTACGAACAAACTGACAACAGACAAGGAAGAGAAGGTAAGAAAAAGCCAAGATAATGAGGGGGGGAACGAGAGACAGGTGAAGAGAGATGAGCCTAATGAAAAGTGATAAAGCTGTCAGTAATGAAAGTGAAAGCGGCAAGTGAGTGAGTGAACGAATAACCAGCAGGGGGAGACAGAGAACGAGCCAGGATCATGACAGTGGAAATATGACATCGAAACAACGTTGATTCTGACATTGTTTTGCTCACTCGATTAACGTTGAACCAACGTCAGACGCGTCATTCTTTTCAAAACTAACGGAAAATCAACTTGAAATAACGCGTTGTTTCAACGTTATGAAAGCAAACCAAT